AGATCGATCCCATTTGACCATCGATGGGCAAAACCCTAGATTTCAACTAAATCTGAAATTTGCCGATATGTTTGTCTCGTTTCTTCTTTTGACCATCTTCCAAAGAAGGAAACGAGACGAACACATCGGCAAACTTCACGCAACAATAGGCTACGGTCTGGTTAGAAAGATAAGTACCACGATGGATACTGGATTACTTAGTTTTCAATCGTATCGAAACAAAATTTTAATCTTGTAGCGATTTTCACGAGTATCGGCTTCACGATCAACGTGTGTTACAATACAAGTACGAGATACGGTTATGCTTGCGAATTATAATCATTTCGCAGTTGTAAGATATAGTTGTACGTCTGGGATTACAAGTATACTTCCTACTGCATTTTGTAATTGCAATCCCAAGATTCCGAACTATTTAGGTCGGCGAACCTCGCACGCGCAGTTTTTGTTCCGTTGTGTGTCGCGAGCCTCGGTGTTCGTGACTCGAAATTAGCATTCCGTTAGAAACGTGTGGATCTCCCTTAAGAGAAAGGAGTGGCGGGGCCTCGATGTTCGTCATCTTGTTTGGAGTCGCGTTAAATCGAGCTAGACGTAGGTCGTCGGTAATGGCCGGCAACTGCGCGACGGAAATTGAAATACTCGATGACAACTTGGTTTGCATGTAGCAGCGATGGATCAGAATGGGATCTATGACTAACGCCTTACGTAATCCGATCGACGAGTTCTATCCGATTGTTACATTCGCGGAGAGATTACGTTTTGTCAACGGAGCGACGAGGGGAATTAGTTTTGGAAGAATTAATATATCTTCGATTAGAACGCTCCGAGAACTGTCGACGCGTTTACCTCGAAAACGATTCGCGTTCTCGATGGACGATAAATAATTACGCGTGTCGTTCCTAGTGAATCACCTTACCACTCGATGACGCAAGATCGATTTAATCGAATGCCGATTATCTTCCTACGTGCACCGTATGAAAATAACGCGTCCGATATATCTATAATATAGGTTTCGTCCAGGATAAAACTTAGGCGTTGCTCTAAAACGAGAACTTTATTAGTTTTTAAGGTTAGGTTTTAACAAAATTGATTTACAAACAGTTGACATCCCTTAATTATTTCTATCTTACTTCTACAATATTTCTCCTTATTTATCTATCGTATTTGTCTAGTCCATGTGTCAAGTCAGCCATCATAGATTTATCTTTACGCGGTCGACTTGACGATATTCTCTCTCCATGTCTGTCGATGTTCCCGTTCGTGCGAATTTCGAATGACAAAAATGGCCGACAGTCCGATAACGTCGATCCTTTTCGTATGTAAATGGCCGCGCGTCCTTGACAAGTGTAAACATAAATAGATGCATCCCGACGCAACGGCCGTGAAATTACATGCAATGCTAGACGTGCGATGCGTTAGATCCGTTCCATCCTCTCTTTTAATTAGGATTATTATTACGGTTAACGTTCCACTGCCAGGATGCGTATCGGGTGTAAATTACAAAGAGAAAAAAATCGTTCTCTTACGGGACGCTTACACCTAGGTACACCGTCCTTAGGGCTCGCTTTTGTGAAATGACAAAAACACCTTGGATCCGTTCTGTCTGAAATATTTCGACTTGCGTATTTGTTCCGTTATACTTACACCTTGCTCCATCTTTTTCAAGGCCGAGAGAGACAAATTGGAGGAGAATCGACGTATCCTGGAGAAACGGCTGGAAGGATGCGAGGCAGAGCTACGCGGCAAGGAGGACGAGCTCTTTCTCCAATTGGAACGAAGCCTCCGGCTGGAGGAGGAGGTGGAAAGGGCTAAAACCGACCGAGACAGCTGCGTGGCAGCGCGGGATCGTCTAGACAGGCAACGCGAGGTGGCTTTGCGTCGTCTGCAGATGCAACTGGCGCAAAACGAGATTACAAGGCAGACTCTGGAACGGGCTCGGCAGGATGTCGTCAGACAAGCTACTGTTATCCGTGCCGAGCGCGATGCTCTTGAAAGAGAGGTGAGACGCGCAGCGCTCCATCTAAGTTAGGAAAATATGTTTTAAAATATGTCTCGGCCGCTTACGTCCGTTTCAACTTTTTCTGTAGAACGAAGTGCTGAAAGAGAAGCTACGGGTGGAGCAGGGCGAGCTGGGCGAAGAAAGACGCAGGCGAGAGGAAGGTGTCGCGGCCCTGACACGAGAAACGATCACGTTGAGACACGCCGCGCGACATCTCCGCGCGGCAACGCTTCATGCCACGTCTTGCCGTCGTCGTCGACGATGTTCCGTTTGTTTGTACGCGAGACGCACGTTTGCGGAGGTCGACGATTATCGCGACGAGTAAGTTCGCTATCATCCTGGCCTGAAGATTGGTTGACCCTTTATGTACTGAATTTCTCAAAAGTTTTTTAAATCTAGGCGTCCATCTTGGTCTTATGTCGTCTTATAGAGTTGTCTCTAACGAGCTTCCAAAATAAATAAAGCCTGTGCTACCATCCAACATATAAAAACAAATTTCGTAGAAGTGGACTTGAGTCCCGTCAGTAAATAAAGGGTTAAAACAAGATAATTAACGAAGGAAATTATATTCTCTGTATTACTGACCATTTTTCAGCGGTAATATATTCAAGTGCCTTCAAGCACCGCTGCAGGACCTGCGTACTTGGTTGCGACCCAGCGCAACGCCTGCGACATCGTCATCGCGCGCGCAGAGGACCAATTCGCCTTTAGCCGATCGAGAAATAAGCTTCATCGACGACTCCAGCGTGGACAGTAGCGCCGGTGGGAGCAACGGCAGCAGCAGCAGTACGACCAGCAGTAACAGTGCCTCGGACGACGAAGCATATCCGAGCACCCCTGTCGCCGAAATCTCGCTTTCGTCGGCCAACTCCAGCGCTCCACCTACAGCCAGAGCCTTTTCTTCCGATTCAGGGTTCGTGTTTCGATCGTTCGCTACAAATTTCTCGTGATTTCTTAACATTTATTTACTTCGATAGTACTAGAAACGTATTAGCAAGCGATTTTTCATTGGTAAAGATTGATGTTTCCCAGGTTCTCTTCGGAAATCGGAGACCGAAGATCGCGATGTTACGAAAACGGAGGTAGCAGCACCAGCAGCAGCAGCGGCAAGAGCAGAAAGATCAGCGAGTCGCTCAGTTGCAGCGAGCCGGACGAGCAAAGCACAGCAGGATTCAGTCGTTCGAGATGGACCTCGTCGTTTCGCAAATTACTCGGACGGAAACCGAAAGCCAAATCCACGCCTGATCGCCCCTCGTAAAGAAGGCGAAGACTGAGAAACGCGTTAACGAATCGTGCACGAATACACGTAGTGCGAAATCACCGTGAAATTTAGTGCCCCACATTTATCCTTTCGGCCTCGTCGTTGATCCGTCGAAATTGTATTCGCTTTAATCCGTGAAACATTCCATATGAATATTCTCGAGAGTTAGAAACCAACGCGATACTGCCAACGTATCGATATTAACGGGATCGCGGAAATACCTTCCTGAGAACTTGTTAACGACCACAGGTTTCAAGCTACACTCGGTAGAAACTTTTATCCTCGCAGGCGATCGTCGCGATCACTTATCAATAGTTTACTTACTCGTATGTAATGCACTTTGGCTGAATTGTCGACCGTTAAGACTCGCGACGTTACGTAGGAATTGAATTTTAAACGATTATTAGCGCCAACGATCGATCAAATTGAATCGAGTGCGTACAATGTTAGTTACGGGAAAAAAAGTATGTTAAAATAATATCAAAGTTCGATCATGAATTTTTAAACGACTTGTTTTCAATTGGATCAGAAAATAACGTTATTATTCATGACGTGGTTTAGGTTGTTGTCTTTGTACTGTTATTGTTAGGGTGACTGTTGTCTTATTAGCCAAAGAACATAGTACTTTTATATGCGAACGAACGTTTAAACGTAACCGATCGGTCGCGATTCGATTCTTTAGATAGATCCGTAGAACTACGAATGTTGAACGTTGCAATCCTTTCTAGCGTCGTGTGAAATTTTGAAAATTTTGAAAATTTGTCCATAGCAAAGTATTATTAGAAAACTTAAATTATGTTTTAAAATGAGATAATGTTAACTCGAGTAACCCGAGTTTCTCCTAAAAGTTGTTGCGTAATGTAACGTACGCATAATAGGAAAATGTCATTCGATTAATCTCGAAATTGAAGAACGTTGCATATACGATTTAAAATTGTATTAAAAGAAATTTAAACGTATATTAATCTGTATTTATTCAACCGATTATGTATGGTCGATGGCCAATCACGTTGAACACGTGACAATTTCGCATTCAGGGTAATAATAAATTTATACTATGTCCATGAAAAATCTTATTTCACAATCGCGGTAATTATTAAACCAATATTTTGGTTGGGACTTATTACCGGTTTTCTTTATAATTTATGTTCACGAAAATTCATCACATTTTATACGCATATTTATATTTCATTTATGATTTCCCTATAGCAGTTTTTATAAATTTATAGAACAAACTATAAAAACGAACGACTATGTGGATATTATGTTAAGGTAATACAAAAATCGTGGAAGTTTTTGACAAATAAAACAACGAATGTAGAAGAAATACAATATCCAGTCATCTGATTTCTTACATACATCGATCTTTAAGGATTAAGATCTTTAATCTTAATGGGTTGTAGCGATAATTCTAAGAACTGTGAACAATAAGCGTCAATAAGATATGTTATATTTTTTTAATGGCGTACAATTAAACAGCGATTAAAAAGTCACTGTATCTTTATCGCGTAGGTTAGAGATAAGTAAAATTTTATTCGAGTATTAGATGACGTATACGTATTCGGTATGAATAACAATTTACTTACAACGTTAATTGAAACAAACTCTGAGTCATGTATTCTGAAAATCGATTCGGTTGAAAGTATACGAGCAAGAATTCCCCTCGCTAACACGTTCCTACGTTATCGACATTCTTTCAGGGTCATTCCTTATTTTCGGGTTATGTAATACATTCTACTACGCCCTATATATGTATATTTAGCATTTATTCCATATATAGACGAGTGATAAACAGGAGAACGTTTTGTATTACGCAATTCTTTTTGTTCGAATCTTCAGTAATTGTTTTCGGGGAACTGACAATTATTTTTCGGTATAATATTATAAGCTTTCTGCTTTTCCTGTGTATGAATCGCGTTCAGATAACCGCCTGTATGTATGCATACATATCTCTACGTCACTTCTCAGAAGTCTCCCATTGGGCAATGTAATCCTCCCACCTTTCCTCTAACGTTTGCGTGTCTTATGTACACAACCATACGTATACAAAATTTGAACATGCATAGCGACGCGAAGCTTAGTCGTCAGTTGGATTTCGTTCTTCGCAGCTCTTCTGTAGTGAGGCTGACGATTAGCGCGTAACATCGTTACTGCAACAGGTATGTGCATACTAAAATAGAAAGAAAGTAGCTCACTAGATAGTCCTAGCTCGAACCGGCAAGCAGTCGTTACTTTCGAAACGTGTATAGAATATTTACCGTGTCTTTACCAAAAGATTAGCTAATTACTTTTGTTTCGTCGGTTTTGCAAAGCCAAGTCGGTGAAGTGTTTACATCGCTAACAGAGTATTCCATGGTTCATTTTAATTTCGAAGAACCGAAGGCTTCTCGTCTATTTTTAACGTAATCGTGGTTGCTTGAACATATGCCTTCGTTTCTGTTTCTGTTTCTGTTTCTCCCTGTAAAAAGTTGCATCAGTTCGGTAGAGCGGGTAGAGGATGAAATTAAAAAAAAATATTACGTGCGCATACTTCAGTACGAAGCAGTTCTGTCGTAAATCGCGAACACTAGCGTGTTACATTTCATCGTGTCATATTTCTACGCATATAATATAACGGTTGCGGTGTAAATATCGAAAGGTGAAAGCAGAATACGGTAGACGATTCGATTTATTCAAATTATATAAATGGAATTTGAAAAACAAAATCCAGTCGCGTATACAAGGATTGTGTTAAGTATACTGCAAACAAGGACGTTGAATTCATCATTCGGTATTACCGCCGAACGAGGAAAATCAATACTTTTCTTATCTTGAATCGCAGCACAATTATTTCGAAATCGCGTGTTTTTTAAATGCCTCCGGTATGTGCGATAATAGTCAATTTTGAGAATTCTTATTACTTTGAAACGTCGAGCAGTAATAAATACCCTCAGGGGCTGTAGCTATGATGAAATTGTAGCTACAGTACGGTCTTAGCAACCCCAAGCTACACTAGCTAGTGGGCCCCAAAAGACGCGTACAGAGTGTCCCAAGAATGTTGTAACACCTTGAAACAGGTGGTTCGAGAGGTGATTTGAAACAACTTTTTCCATAGCGAAAATGTTGTCCGAGGCTTCGTTGAGTAGATATTAACGGAAAACACTGACCAATCAGAGCGCGCGTATACCGTTGGAGCGGCAGCGGTAGCATCGTATGAGCGCGTAGCCTACGCTCAACCGGCATACTCGCGCTCTGATTGGTCGGTGTTCTCGCTTAATATCTCCTTAATGAAACCTCGAACAATATTTTCGCTAAGGAAAAAGTTGTTTCAAATCACCTCCTGAACCACCCCTTTCAAGGTGTAACAACATTTTTGGGACACCCTGTAGATACAAAGGACGAGACTGTTGTATACATTTTCGAATAGGTACGTTAGATTTTCGTCGAGTACGAAGTATTTCGCAGGAGTAAACAGCTCAACGTTTCTAAGTATCTGATGTTAGTTTATTAGTTCGCAAACAGATACGATAAATTAAGTATCCTACATGGATTAGATTGCGGTACGGTATCTCACGTACTTATTTTTCAGCAATATTACTCATTGTTTACGAACGTACACGTTGTTACGTAGGTGCTAATCGATCATGCGATAGATTTGTTTCGTGCGAGAGCACGTACGCTTCGAGAAAACATTTTGAATTTCGTTGAAACTTGGATACGTTGTCTTTAGCGATGTCTGTGCTTTTATCATTTTTCGTTGAAAAATGTCATCGATCTGATTGAACGTAGTTTCATAACGATAAAGAGATATAAAACTTCTATTTTGCTGATCGCTGTTTGACACTTATCTATCAGAGGACAACTTACTGTGGGCGGGGTCCGGGCGGAAAAAAATGTGCGACAAGGATAGCAACTGTTGACTGATTCGTGGCGCCATCTACCATAGAACCGTCCAAGTTTGTCGAGAGATAGTTCGAACTTTTCACCGCTACGTGGCGCCACCGATCGTTATCCATACCGACGATGTGTAATAATTACATAAACTGCTTTATTTCGTTAAATAATGAATATTGGACTACACTGCGTACACGACATGATCTCGAAGCTTATCAAAATTGATCCGGGATAAGGTTTTCTTTACTTTTAGTTCTTTCACTTGAAATTAAACTGCTCGTGGCACCTAGCGGTGACTAGTTCGAACTATTTCTCGACAAACTTGGACGGTTCCATGGTAGATGGCGCCACTAATTTTCCAAAATATGTAAAATGCTGTATTACGTTAAATAATTAATTTTTAACTGTACTTAAACGTAACATGACCATAAAGAATATTTAAATTGAACTGAAATAAAAATAAAAATATCGAGTAATGGATAAATAAAAGATAATAAAAGAAATAAGATACAGGAAATGAATAGAATGAGGGAGAAACGAATGGGGAAACGAAACGAATACGAAGGGAAAATGAAAAGAAAGAAAGAGTTCAATGCGGAACTTCTTATTTTGCATTTCTTTCAGGCAAAGGCCCGTATATCACAATGGACAAAATGCCACCACAACCCGGTTTTATGCCAGGTCACCCACTACCGCCACCGCCCTATACAGATGGACAGCCACCACCACCACCACAAAGTACGTGATAAATATAAAAATAAATATAATTATACTTTGTCTGGGAGAGAAAACACGCACGTGTCCCATGTACAGCAGTGAAGCGAAATGAAAAAAAAAAACGAGAAATGGAATGATGGGACTATTTCCTCGATCACCTTGAGCGGTCGTTTGACTTTGTGTCGTGCATAGTTGAGATCTGCGAGTGATCGAGAAGTCGACAAAGTGCAAGGACAAGTAAAACGAATTAGCGAAACCCAAGAAGCTTCGATTTGAATTTCGAGCCATTTAATCGAATCAATTGTCTGCTAACCAGCACTCGCACTATCGGTCATTTTTAACAGTATCTTTTAGTTATAGAATAATCGAAATACGAATCAAATTATTCACATTGTTTACTGATCGTAGATACGTGTCCCTTAACGAGGCGATGCACATATCCGTTTTAGAATAGAAGATACAATCGACTTTTTTATATTATTTGAAATAATTGTTTTTAAACAATGTTGTTACAGGTGTTATCATAGTAGGAGGCACGCAATTTGGTAACGAGCCGCAACGCCTAACTTGTCCCTATTGTCATGCCAACGTTCTTACGACGATAGAAACCGAGTCAAACACAAAAACTCATTTAATTGCACTTATCTTATGTCTTGTTGGGTAATTATATTGATCATTATTTATCCGTATCTTCAATTATCGATACAGGGTTTACGTCAAAGAAAAAAATATGTAACTGTATTAATATTCGTTTCTAGATGTTGGTGTTGCGCACCTTGTCCTTACTGCATCGACAGCTGTATGGTGAAGAAGCATTCGTGTCCATCTTGTAAAGCATTCTTAGGTCAATCGACCAATTAATTTCTATGCTGATGGTTTCCTCAAACGATGTTTACGTATAATTAAATATGTTAACGCAGACGTTGAAATTTAACGTCTAAAGTACGCACAATATTCCACGCATATATATATAGTATATATAATCGAGAAATTAAATATTTTATATAAACTCTACACAACCTTTCCGTGTTAAACACGTGTAAAATAATATACTTTTACTTGATTACTTTAATCGTAAACGTTTAATGTGGTAAACTTAAGTATGGTTGAACATATGTGCAATGCATTTGTACTATCGATTTTGTTTTTTTGTATATTACTTGTATCTTAATTTAATAATTTAAGATGACTGTTAACGCTCTGCCCGTATATAACGTTCCGAAAGTTTTTCGATAAAATATTGTATATTACAAATAAGACTATTGTTGTAAAACAGCAAAAAACGAATATGTAAAACTTTCTACAGTATTTTTGTAAATTGTTTCTTAATCTACGGAAGGTAACAATAAGATTAATATTAATGCTGTCGCATTAAAAACTGTATAAGAACTTGTTTTATTACTCCTGAAGCAAATTTATGTACAGTAACTCCCTTGTCTTATTCGAATGGCAGTATACGAAAGAATATGGATAAAGGTCTTTAATATTTTGTAATAACTTGCTTCCAATAATCTATTCGTATATCCACTTCTCTGCCCAAGATGCCCAATCGACAACTTCTTTCTTATCTTCTGTGAACCATAATTTAATTTCCTTCTTGGCAGAGTCAACGGAATCGGATCCGTGGATAATGTTGCGTCCAACTTGTAGACAGAAATCACCACGAATTGTTCCAGGTGCAGAATCTTTTGGATTTGTTTCTCCCAACATTACACGGCCAGTTTTTACTGCATTCAAACCTTCCCATACCTGAAAGATACAATTCGATTCTTGTTTTATTTCATTATGTAAAAAAGAAAAACGTACATTGTTGTTAGGTATAAAATTATTACCATAGGTACAACTGGTCCCGAACTCATGTATTTAACCAAGCCTGGGAAAAATGGTCTGGCTGCCAAATCTGAATAATGTTGTTTCAGCAAATCCTCTGTTGGCTGAAGAAAAAGGTTGTTATATTATTACAAAAGGACATTCTATTTGAATCATTGGTCGTATTACTTATTAAATAATGCGATGACTATATTACACTAGAGATTAGTTTTATCTTTAGGCTGTATGCCAATGCCGTATTGTAATGCATTGATTGAAAATAACTCGTCTAATTACTCGCTAAAAATCTTCTGCTTTAATTAGTTTCAAATATATTGAAATAGGAATATAAGAATAATACGAAAATGAATTTCAACCATTTTATCTCAAGGCTGAGGATCGTTAAGTGTCACATATTCTAGCAACATAAATTACGTCAATTGTGTTTCTCGACAAAGAAATATGACTGGTGTTTTAAGACAAACACATGTAAAATCATTTTCCGCGATAAGCTAGGAGAAACAATACCGACATGAAATTAGCGTCCACGTGGCTACAAAGAACAGAATATGTGCGATTTTCGCGTATGTGAAATTCACGTACACGCACGCATACGGACACTTACCCACACCATCTTCATCGCTACGAGCTTGAAACCTTTATCCTCGAAACGTTGGATTATTTTCCCGACGAGTCCACGCTGGACACCATCGGGTTTAATCATGATGAACGTACGTTCCTTATTTTCTGCCATTATTATTTTGCAAACTAAACGAAATAAAGTCAGAACGGTACACAGAACCATACAACGCCGGCGACAGCAGAAGAAGAGTGAGAACAGATCAACCCTTCGCTTATTCGAAGCAATTCGAACTTGTCTCTTTCAACGTGGTGGGGACGTAAGCACGGACATAGGAATATAGAGAGCGGTCATAGCTAAACCCAAAGTGAGCCATGACCGCCATATTATGTTGCCATTGCGAATTCATGAAACTGCTAGATATCTGTATAAAGTCTATAGTCTATGGCTAAACGCGTATCCTCCATTCGCAGGTTTCCCACGAGATCCTCGTTCGTTTGGAGATGACAACAGAAATGTCAAAAAAGCTAATATGGGTTGCCCCATAACAGGGGCACCTCTGCGCCTACGAGATGACAACCAAACCTACAAGCAGGCGAATAACGGTTGCCGCATAACAGGGGCACTAATTCGTAATATTTTCTAACACCATCTAATGTCTCGTAACATCTCCTAACATCTCTTAGCATCTCTTAATACCTCCTCCCGTTTCATAACATCTCTCAACAACTTCCAACATTTTCTAACACTTCGTGAAATTTCCTAAGAACCTCTAACATCTCCTAACAACTCCTAACACCGTCTTACACCACCTAACATGATATGCGAAGAGGTGGCACAAGGAATCTTTGGTAACATTTGACATGGTGACATTTCCTGGTTTAACAATGTTGCAACGGCTCCGCTCAAAACTTCAACAATGTTGCAAATCGCTCCGCGTAAAATTCCAACAAAGGTACAAGTTCAACCATGTTGCAAATCGCTTCACGCAAAAATCCAACAAAGTTGCCAGTTCAACAATGTTGCAAATCGCTCCGTGCAAAAATCCAACAAAGTTGCGAATTCAACAATGTTGCAAATCGCTCCATGTAAAAATCCAACAATGTTGCAAATTCAACAATGTTGCAAATCGCTCCGTGCAAAAATCCAACAATGTTGCAAATTCAACAATGTTGCAAATCGCTCCGTGCAAAAATCCAACAATGTTGCAAATTCAACAATGCTGAAAATCGATCCCGGCGGCAATCCAACAATGTTGCAAATTCAACAATGTTGCAAATCGATCCCGGCGGCAATCCAACAATGTTGCAAATTCAACAATGTTGCAAATCGCTCTATGCAAAAATCCAACAAAGTTGCAAATCGCTCGCAGCGGGAATCCAACAATGTTGCAAGTTCAACAATGTTGCAAATGGCTCTGCTCAAAATTATGACGGGACATGTTGAATTTTTACTTCTGGTAACAGGAGAACATGATATGCGAAGAAGTGACACGTTCTTGCTTACGAGCAGGCAACCGGTCCGACATATCTGTAAGTATAGGTTGCCTAGTTCAAGGGGCACATTTTTCGGTACGTATCGGACTTCTTCCCGATTTTACATTTTGGTGTTAGGAGAACATGGTATGCAAGGAGGTGGCACAAGGAATTCATGGGAAATTCAAAGGAAAATGTGGCAGGAACTGGAAAGGGAAAGGAAAATTAATATTAAAGGAAAATTTGGCAGGAACTGGAAAGGGAAAGGAAAATTAATATTAAAGGAAAATTTGTAAGGAAATGGAGAGAAATTAAAGGGAATTTAAGGGGAAATATACCAGGAAATGGGGGGGAGTTAAAGGGAACTGTGTAGGGAAATGAAGGGAAAGTATAGGGGAATATCACAGAAATTAAGGGAAATTAAAAGGAAATGTACGAGGAAATGATGGGAAGTTAATGGGAAATTGGTGAGGAAAAGAAGCGAAATTAAAGGGAAACCTCACAGAAATGAAGGGAAGTTAAAGGGAAATGTATCAGGAAATGAAAGGAATAGTATTCAATTATAGTCCTATTTAAACTACCCGCTGCAAATTGGCAACGTAAGATGGCCGAGGGACCTCCCCCCTTGACTTCATAGCGCACCACGTCCATTCCCGGTCATTCCTCGGTTCCTATATTCCTATGTCCGTGGGCGTCGTTCTTGATCTGTCACCATCGCGGCGCTCGCGTATGAACTCCAGTGGTAATCCTCTAATAACAATATTATCTTACTGTTTATTATTCGTATTATTTTCGTAAATGCATGATTTCTTAGGTAAACGAAAACCCCTATGAAATGCTAATTATTCACGATATAACATAGTAAGGCGTGTAAGATACATCTATTAGGATTCATCAACGTGACGTATTTCCCGCGCAAGGAACCGCACAAATCTTCAACTCGGAATACGTTCATCGATTGGTTTTTCGCGTCGGTCCATGTTACGCGTCCATGGTCCACGTTATGTTACGGTTTTCGTATCGTTGACAGACCGTCGTTCGCAAAAGACCAACCAATCGGTTACTCGCCGTCTTTCGTCACGTAATTTCGAACATCGGAATATTCAGTAACTAGCAATTACGTTTTTACGTAATTTGCATATTATATACTGCAGTCTGGGTGGTTTGACTAGTACTCGAAAATCCATGATGGCGGACGCTGAAACATCGCGCTAGTGCATGCGGACGTAATTCCCCTGCGTACCTGTGTTTTTGTTTCTGTTCTCGAGGAAGGACAGAATCATATTCGGATTCGACTCGTCGCGGTTTTCTCGATCGCGGTACTCTGCTTCGGCTAGATCGTTCGCGCGAGCAACTCGCAACATTTTTCTTGCGCCGCACTTGTTCGCGTGTCAAATTTTTATGGTGGCCGTGATCATGCAAGCACAGCAGCAGCCGCAGCAACAGCAGCAGCAGCAGAACCATCAACAAATTGCGGGCACCAGTGTCATTCTCAAGATGAACGAGATACAACAGCTTTCGACAGTTGGTACGTAGTAGAATAACCACGACTACCTACGTATCGTTTCGTTGGAACGTTCAATCTTTCGTTCGCGAAACTCGATGAAATGGACATCAAATCCGCAGGCATTCCCTTTGTAATCATGCGACTTGCGTTGCTAAAAATACACATTGCACAAGTTTCCATGACCGATTAATACGGACGATCAAAAGCACGGAGTTGTGTAATTTTTCCAATGTACATTTACGTCGCCAACTCGTATCCGAGTTTCGTTTAATTATAGTCGTTCGATCAAGACCATGGTTAATGTGTAACATTTATTAGAAACTTTCTTGTTAGTGGACAACAATGTTGCTTTTACTTTATTGATTTGTCACTTCGTACTAACTTAATAAGGTGTCACAAACGAAAGGTATCATTCACGTGGATTACGTACACGTGAAAAATGTCAATATCTTAAGTACTGCAATATAAGCGATATATCCATATCAAACTACGCGAGCGATATGCTTTATTCGATCGTACGAATACGTGAAATTCGTTATATTAAAGGTGTGTAGACGAGTAAACGGAGTTTAAAGAAAATGTGCTTCAATTTTTTAACGAAAGATTGCTCGAACTTTGCAAATGTCCGTTGATTTTATTTTCATCTCTGTACGAATCGTAGCATTATTATTTTACCGTTGTTAGCTTTTAGTTTTCTCCCCCATTCGGGTCTATTCTCCCTTAAATATTTCCTTTCCCCTCGCTCCGCAATCCCCCTGTCCTCGCTTCATCGAAGTGACGATGGAATATTCCATTGGGTACCTATTCCATCTGCTTTTCGAGCGGCAGAGTGGGGACAAGAGTCCCTTCGTATACATATACCAGTGGTTCTTTGCAATGTTCGTCGATTTTACCCGTTGCAATGTATTTCACGAGTGAAAATTTTTACTTATTTTCAGCGGTCTTCCATCACATTTTCCACTGCAACTCTTCTAGGCATTAAATTAACTATCAGTATTTTTTAAATCTTTTTTACTGAAAATTTAGTGTTTTCTAATTCCCACGAAGCATTAAACTGATGCGCTTATGTTACCAACTCTACTGTTAATTGTTCCTTGTACTGTTAATAAAAAATAAATTAATAAATTACAATTTTACATATTTTTTTTTTGGAAATTGACCGGTATACGAATACTTTCTACACCTACTGTACTTTTGCAATTCATTGATAAATGTTGCATGTTTTGCTACCGAGATCAAAATTATAATTGAGTAATTCTTTTCTTTATCGACACACAGAATTTATACATAAAAAGAGTAACGAAAGCCGTATTCGTGAAAGTTGGAATAATAAGATTTTCCTAATAGCGAATGAGAACTACTGATATGGGTTCTTTACATGTCCCAGTCGCGTAGTACAAGATATACGTGCCCCCCTAGAGTCGCCAATTTTTTTTGTATTTATATTTAGTGTTACACGTGTTTACACCAAGAAATTATTTTCGCTAAGGTTATCGACAAATCAAAGTTAAATAAAGAGCGCACCAATTTTCTGGACATCTCGAAACTCGAAATTCTCCTAAACATTCCGAACCGTCTGATCGTATTCCATACAAACAAAATATTATCAGTATTGCTGATACAACAATAATCTGTTAACACGTTCCCGACGTACGTAGTTGATTTTGTGTGTTTTGTTTGCTAAAAATAACTCGACGGATGTTCTTTGTTTTCGAGACCGCTGAATACGCAAATTGTTATCGAAACTGAAAAGCAGTGAAGTAAGGGTGCACAAATGTCCAATTTAGTCAGAAAAATTCGTACCGAATCGAGGATAGGTTACTGGTTCAATCGTGCGTGGTAAACGATATCTTAGGATTCCATTCTGATTTCGACGACGATATCCGATGGGCAAATGTTCGTACAGTCGAGTTGACAAAGGACAAAAGAAAAAATGATTAGGCACCGAATTCGATGTTGACGCTCTTGAACCGAGTGTCTTCCCTTGCTTCCCCTCTCCCCCTTTACGGCTTGCCACAACGACGCAGGAGTCCGCCATAGTGGCCGAGCCGACCAATCGGCTCGCTCCTCGATCTGGCGGGGATAACCTGGCCGGAACGATCTCTTCTATAGGAACACCGCGGATGCAGTGTCTACAGAATTGAGGAATTATTAAGTGTCGCGTTGAACTGTAATGCGCTGGTGATCAGGGAACGTAAATCCTAACAACGAGCGCTACGCGAGTTGATACGGAGAAGTAAATAAAACCATATCGCGAGTCGGTCAGAAGACGTTATCACAGGAAACATTCGAGGCATCAATTTTCGTCCGGCGAGGAGTCTCGAAATTGATCGAGCTGAAAAACGGCGTGTGCGTCTGAATGTGTGCGGTGGTGAAAAGATCAGAGCAACGAAACGAGAAAAATGAGTCTGAGACTGATCGAGAAGAAAAAGGAGTCCGTCCTGAAAAGCACCAACGGAATAATTGGAAGCGTGGTCAACGGCACGGACGACATTTATAATGGAACCGTCGAGTGGCCGAACGGGCAAAATCTCCTGGTTGTTACACAGGACACTCAGGGCAAGGAGCTTATCGCGATCGCAGACAATCAAACCATTAACGTCGCTGTCGACTCCTACTGTTCGTATTCTTTCCCTCTGACGCTATTTCTTCCCCGTGTTACTGAACTTTTGCTATCGGTCGAGTTACGAACGAAAATCGATATACATATTGGTCAAAATAAATGCACGCATCGTGTTTAAGTAAATTTTCACGTGGGGATCAGGGTAGCGATTCGTAATCTACAGGAAACACAGCGAAGACTAGGATATTTCCTAAGATATTTCTATAGACGAATATTGCTTCCGTACTTTGAAGAATACTTTCGGTACATTTTCGTGCGAAGCGTAAAAATTCCATGCCTACGTCGTTTGCTCGAGTACACAACGGAAGCAGCCATTTTTATGCTCGCGCCTCGTCTGCGTCTTTTTTTAACGTTTCACGAATTTCAGGCTTCCTGTGACCCTAGGGCGTTCCTTTGGACACGTAAACGTTATGCATGCGCCATAGAAATTCTGAACAGAAAACACGTGCAGATTACAGAAATATTCGTATAGACGTAAACGAGTAGCGTAAACGCGTAACCGTTACTCAGTAACGTAAACGAGAGTAGCCATATGGCGACGACTCGAAAAATGCACGTGCTTCCGCTTCAATTCCAAACTCGATAGGCGCCTCGTAACTTTTCTTCCTTACGTGTAACGTGTAAGTTATGAGAAAATATCACGTTCGAATTTATCTCGTTTCAGGGCTACTGGAACTGGCTCACAGGGAGTATCAAGCAGGAGACTATGAAAATGCGGAGCGACATTGTATGCAGCTCTGGCGACAGGAAACCAACAACACAGGGGTTCTTTTGTTGTTGTCTTCGATTCATTTTCAATGCAGGAGGCTAGATAAGTAAGTAAGCTTTGAGAGCAAAAATATTTTTTCTCTGTTTCTACTTGCTCTTAACATTCACAAATTTCTGTCGGTACATTTCAGGTCTGCTCATTACAGTAGCTTAGCGATAAAGCAAAACCCCTTGCTGGCAGAAGCTTACAGCAACCTTGGAAATGTTTTCAAGGAGCGCGGTCAGCTACAGGAAGCTTTAGAAAATTACAGACACGCCGTCAGGTTGAAACCAGATTTCATCGATGGGTACATCAATCTGGCAGCTGCGTTAGTGGCTGCAGGAGATATGGAACAAGCAGTTCAAGCATACGTGACCGCTTTGCAATATAACCCTGTGAGGAACAAATCATTGTTTAAATAAATTCTCAGATAGTTAATTTACAACCAGCTCAAAAAAATGTATCGAATATAGTTGACGTCCATGATTTTTTTTTTTAACGATTTTCTGTATAATTTCTTATCCATTAAAGATATGATCCGAGCCAAGTTAAAGAAATACTTTCATATATTTTTTTATGATTCGAAACAAACTATATTCGTCAATTTTCCAGCAGCTTTACTATGGTTGACCAAACTCGTTCTTGGAATATTTTCACAACGTACGGTTTTGCGTGTTATAGGATCTCTACTGCGTGAGAAGCGATCTTGGTAATCTTTTGAAAGCATTAGCAAGACTTGACGAAGCAAAGGTAGGTTTTTCCGCCGATTGGGATCGTTGTTGTAAAGTAATCTGACGTGTGATGCACATATTCGTATGCATTGGTACCGTAATCAAACTTTAGGATATTGTTGGCCGCTTGCCGACAAGTCTCGTCGATTAGTCCTTTGATAAGGTACGAATGCATCTTATAGATTGTGCACGAGCACTAGTCAGCAGTTGTTTGGAATGGCTAGGAAGTAACTGGGTATCCGTTTCATTCGAGCGGAAAGCCTTTTCTCATTGTGGAAAACGTATGCGCGGCGTGCGATGGCCCCGCTATCGAAATTAAATGCGCGTGGTCCTCGTGAACATCGGCACGAAATAAGATTGAAATTTCTATAGCGGATCGTACATCGCGCGCGTTCCTTCCCACCTAATCCATCAAATAGCCGCGATTGATGTTCTCTCGTCCGTCCTTTTGTCCAAGGATCAACGAGGTTACTCGGCATCAAACGCGGCGCCACGAGCGTTTTCGGTCCAGTGCCGAAAACATTTTAAAGCAACCCCTTCTGGCATCGCGCGTTTTGCAATAACACCGTCGCAGGAACAGATTTTCTTCGTCTCTCTCGGTGTCATCGCAAATTTTTAACCGCAATTGCTGATCCTATTACAGCAAGTACGGTCTTTTCTTTTTCCTTTTCGAAGCGTTGTTGCGCGAACAGTGTTTTACTTTTGCGTTTTTGTACTTCTTCTTTTTTTTTCTCTTTTTTTTTTTCTTCAAAACACGCAGTAAGCTACAATAGGATCCGCAGCGCGCGACTCTAGCAGTTAAGGTCATCCTCATTTTATCCAGCTCATTCTGAATGTGTATTTAACTTTAGGTATACAGATCCGTTACGTATACATGGACAAATGCGACACCTTTTCTTTCCAACTTTTGAGAGTAATCAAATTTGTGTGTACGATCATGATTAACGGCGCGAGATCACTCGACGAATTTCTTATCGCGGGATTCGATTTGAACGAGAAACGCGTCGATAACTGCTCTTCCATCGCGCAATTGTCGATGGAAGTGTGCTTTCTTTTCGGTCGGAAACTCACAGGATTTGTTCCACTCCTAAGAGTTTCGTCGGTTAATTATATAGTTGATTCGTTGATTGTAGTTTGTATACTTGAGCGAGGCAATGTCGAGTGGTCTGCTTCTTTCACAGCGGCGCGGCGCGGCGATGAACGACAAGCAAGCGACTGCAGACAGTACGAATGATCTCGAAATGCTTCTATGCTCGTCGTTTAAGAAATTATTTTCGCGTCGGTCTCTGTCCTCCCGCGTGTCGCGGCGGTACTCTTTGCAGGGACAAGCTTGTCGGTGAATCACAACGCAGCAACGAGAAAGGCCTTCCGCTGAATTTCCTGCCAGTCTTGATTGCTTTCTAGTCTGCTCGCTCGATTTTCGCTCAGTACGTTTCGCCACCAGCAACGCGTACGATCTCGAAATAGTACAAGCTTGGACCATGAAAAGAAAGAGTTTCAAATTTAAAAATAAAAAAAAAAAAAAGAAAAGAAAAAAACACACACATTGGTAGCGTTCCAGGGTCAATAATCAAAGAATTTCTAACGCTCGTCTTGCATCGTATTCTAGTTATCGGGAATTTTCGTTCGAACGTACAGTCGATGATAACCGGACGTCTCGAGGCGGTTTAATGGTGGCTGACGGGCTCAGCGAAGCGTGCCCCTCAACCGGCACGCACGACTAGGCGTGCTACCTCTATATATACACGTACTTTGAAAAGAAATGAAAATTTAAAAAAAAAAAAAGACAAAAGTTGAGGCGAAGAGTATCAGTGAAGAGACATTAACGCAGCTGTCTTATTGTTGTGGATGGGATGATCAACTCTAGGAGGGGAAGTCGGAGCAATGTGATTGGTCTCGGTTACCATGGGTTCCTTCGTCAAAGGGGTGAATCTGAATCTGGTTATTCAGTAACACACTGTCTCTCGGTCTAAGTTTATTATGAGAGCTTGCGAGCCGTACCTACCGTCAACCTACCGAAGGGTACACTGCAGGTAAAGTAATTCCCAAGGCCGGTCTCTGAACAATCCATCTATACAGACTTCCCCTTCTCCACCGCCAGATTTCAAAGTTGGATCTCTTCGGTTCATTCCGCGAAAGCTTTCTTCGAATTTCATTCTTGCTATCGTTACGAATCCGTATTTAGTCGCTTCGCCCAGTGAAACGGGTCCTGGTTGTTCGAGACACGGTCCAACTTTGCTTCTGTCTTTTTCCCCAGTACTTTGCTTCGACTCGTCCGCCCTTTGCTCGCCTTTTCCCGCATAGAGACCGGCCGACTGTAAATGCCCTTTTACTTATCGTTTAGGTACGGATTACTCTACTTTATATGATGTAGCCCGCCTCTCGGCACGCGCGATGCACATCCCCGCTTCGACCTTTAGGAGAGTCGTCACGCGTGAAGAAGTCGAGAATTTTAAACGTTCTCAACGTTCGAACGCGACAGGGAACGATCGGTTTTGAAATCGATACGGACTTCGTATACGAGGTAGAGGGGACGTTGGATGATCGTCGCGGGGCTCGAATTTGAAACGGGCGTGTTTTTCGACGAGGGGAGACATCTTCGCAGGCGAGTTGGCCGGTGACGACGACAATGGCGAAACTGGCGTACCGCGCGTGCCGTCGAGTCCACCGGACGCATTTCGGGGAATCGACGGATACGCGATACCGGACACCCGTATCGGCCACGTTAACACGACGACGCTCCTTAGCGCGCTCCACGTAACCCTATTTTCCCGACCTCGCACCAGCTCCTCGTCCCTCTACACGTTACACGATTCGCAGAATGAGCTTCGTTCTCTCTGTACCCGTTTCCGTTCTCCGTTTTTCTCTGAACGCTCCAACCGTATCGCTGCTGCGACGATAACGCATGTCTAAACGACCTTTCATAGTCTACTCGAGTACTCTGATTTCGCTATCGATGGATCGATACTTCAACTATTTACTAACGATGCTCGATTCTCGTCGAACGTTTCTTGGGCTTGCGATCGCGTTCTTCGTTTCGAATAACCGTACGATTCGAGCAACGACGTCGTGAAATTGGTTTTTGATTTTTAGAGATCCAGCTAGATACTATATGCGATGAACATGGGATTCGTTCGGTGTTTCTATCGCGAGTTTTTGTCGTTCGACGCGAGTCACTTTCAGCGAATGAATTTGTAAAGAATTTTAGTTACGTTTGCCGATCCAGTTCGGATACGATCCGATAAAAGCTCACGGTAGAAACCAGTCGATGAGAACGACGGAATGAAATCTGGATTCGCGTTGTGACGGATCGATCGACTCGAGAAACGAAAATGCGTACGCACAGGAAAGGAGGATAGGACAGAGGAAAAGGGCGACGGAGAGGACGAAGGTGATGAAAGTAAATGTTTTCTGAGGTATCTCGAGGATGGTGAATGCGTGAAAGCTGCGGCGCGGCGAGGAGAGGTTGGGCAATACGCGCGGCGCGTCGTCTCTGACAGTACGCGAGCATTACCTCTAATACTCCGTTTGTCTCTAGGCTTGCTATCTAAAGGCGATCGAAACGCGTCCGGACTTCGCCGTTGCCTGGAGCAATCTCGGCTGCGTGTTCAACGCCCAGGGAGAAATATGGCTGGCGATTCATCATTTTGAAAAGGCGGTGGCGCTGGATCCAAACTTTCTGGACGCGTACATCAACCTTGGCAACGTCCTCAAAGAGGCTAGGATATTCGATAGGTAAGGAAACGCAGTTATCCGCGTTCTTTTCTACGTTTTCCAATTCACTTGTTACTCCTTTTCACTAACTACTCCTTTTTAATCCTGTCACGAATTAGGATGTATCCTGTGTCCAGTACCCGAGTCGGATATGCACAGTTTGATCGATCGTCGTTTATACTTCCTGTTGACGTCGATTTTAAAGTCTGTGCTAGAGGAAAGTGGCTTTATAGTTATTCCTTTAATGTCATCCAGTGACGTTAACGGTAGTAGAAAGTCATACAATTGACTATAGATGTACGATGAGCGTTCGCGTTTATTTTGTAAATAACCGATCTTTTGTAATATCGATTCGACCGTGGAGTACTTAATTCGCGGCACGATGAAAGAAACCGTCGAGGGTCGTAAAGTTTCGCGCGTTCCCCTTTCGAACACGCGTGCTAAGAAACCGCGAGCAAAGCGCATGAGCCGGTATGTAAACACCGAATCGATATTCATATAACGTTCTTTCAAGTTCATCGTCCTTCGTTTCTCTCCAGAGCGATGTCCACGAACAACCTTCTTTCGCGAGGCACGTACATTTTTGTAATTCGTTGTACGAATCCGAAAGTTGCGTTCGCGCCGTTCAACTTTCGAGCTGTACTAAATTCTTGGAGAAGTATAAGTATTAACCGTTTTCACGCGAGAGGTGACTCTCAGTCACCATTAGGTTTCACGCAAGCAAATTTATAATACCTAGACGTGAGTTTATTCTCAAATCTAGATAGCTTAGAATTCATAGGAATAGAATGCTAAGAAACATCTCGAGTTGCTGGTAGATACCAGAAAGAAAAGGCCTCGAGTGCAAAGGGTTAAGAAGAATAATCTAAAGTTGCGATTCAGGGAACACTCGCACGTATCGAGCCATTCGTCTTCGACCGTGGTCTTGTATGAATAGCCTTGCAAGAGTATAAATTGCTTTCGTATAACGTGTCCCAGATCCGTTATTTACGCGTATCCGCGGTCCAGAGCCATCTCCTTCGACGTTACGCACAACAGCGGGTGAAACTCGACAACTATCGATTCCAAGACTCGCTCCGCCCCCACGAGAGAAGAGAACCCTTTGGTTCTCACGGGTGGGTGTACAGTCCTTAACGAGACTGGATGTTGTCAAAAACGCAGCTCGCGGCTACGAGTTTCACGACCGAAAGCTATCGCGGTAGTTTCGTATCCTCTCTTTATCCTCGAGTCCCTTGGAGAATTGATTTTTCCCGTATATACAAAAGAACCGATTGATTAATCAAACGAGATACCGAAATGGGGGAGGAATGGACTGCCAGTGTGTTGTCGTGTACACGGTGATCTCGCCCTCGACTACGATCGCACCCTCGTTACGCGTACAATTGCAGCGGGCTCTCGCGCGATCCTCGACTCCTGGATGCTGCATCTCTTGGTTTAAGCATAACGTGAAAAGGTTAATTCTTCGACGCTGGTTTCTTTCGTACACTCGCCGGCGGCGTCTCGTCTTCGCGACCCGTTGCGAGATACGAAAACGTGTCGCACGTGTTCGATTTGTGCCTCGGTTGTGATGTCGCGAACGAGTGTTACTATTTTCAAAGTAACTGACAATTTGCTCCTTTTCTTTCGATCGGTTCTACGGAAAATAATATCGATGCTTTTCCACTGTTATTACATGAATTAACAACGCGTGAATTTTGTGTTTTCTAATAGAGCTGTAGCTGCCTATCTGCGTGCTTTGAATCTCAGTCCCAACAATGCAGTCGTTCATGGAAATTTGGCGTGCGTCTATTACGAACAAGGGTAATTATAGATTTGCGCTGGGAATTCATTAAACAGCGAAACAGAAAGTATATTTAAGATTTTTGTAGGCTCATCGACTTGGCCATCGACACGTATCGTCGCGCCATTGAGCTGCAACCGAATTTCCCAGATGCTTATTGCAATTTGGCGAACGCGCTCAAGGAAAAGGGCCAAGTGGCGGAGGCCGAGGATTGTTACAATACCGCTCTTCGCCTCTGCCCATCGCACGCCGATTCCCTTAATAATCTGGTACTTGTATAGAAATCTTCACGCGCGGTATCGATAACGCTTGAGAAGATTTTTCGTTACGTATTTGTTTTCGTTGCAGGCCAACATAAAAAGGGAACAAGGGTACATAGAAGAAGCAACACGACTATATTTGAAAGCGCTTGAAGTATTCCCCGAGTTCGCGGCAGCTCATAGCAATCTTGCTTCTGTATTGCAACAGCAAGGAAAACTAAACGAAGCTCTGATGCATTATAAAGAGGCTATTCGTATTCAGCCGACTTTCGCGGACGCTTACTCGAATATGGGTAATACCCTGAAAGAAATGCAAGACATACAAGGGGCTCTTCAATGTTACACGAGAGCTATTCAAATTAATCCCGCTTTTGCCGATGCTCATTCCAATTTAGCCTCGATCCACAAGGATTCCGGGAACATTCCCGAAGCGATTCAATCGTACAGAACCGCTCTGAAATTGAAGCCCGACTTTCCAGACGCGTATTGCAATTTGGCGCACTGCCTGCAGATTGTGTGCGACTGGACCGACTACGAAGCAAGAATGAAGAAACTGGTCTCGATCGTCGCGGAACAGCTCGACAAGAACAGATTACCGAGCGTGCATCCGCATCATTCCATGCTCTATCCGCTGTCTCACGAGTTCAGAAAAGCTATCGCAGCTAGACACGCGAATCTCTGCATCGAGAAGATTCACGTTTTGCACAAGCAACCGTACAAGTATCCACGCGAAGTCGGTGCCCGCTTGAGAATCGGTTACGTTTCGTCAGATTTTGGAAATCATCCCACCAGCCATCTCATGCAGTCGATTCCGGGACTTCACGATCGACAAAGCGTTGAAATTTACTGTTACGCTCTTAGCTCCGACGATGGGACGACCTTCCGGGCGAAAATCGCGAGAGAAGCCGAGCACTTCGTCGATCTATCACAAATTCCGTGCAACGGGAAAGCCGCGGATCGTATTAATTCCGACGGGATACATATTTTAGTCAACATGAACGGCTACACGAAAGGCGCTAGAAACGAAATATTTGCTCTGCGACCGGCGCCGATTCAAGTCATGTGGCTTGGATATCCGGGAACATCGGGGGCGAGCTTCATGGATTATTTAATTACAGACGAAGTTACCTCGCCATTGGAACTTGCTAGTCAGTACAGCGAAAAGCTCGCTTACATGCCGCACACGTACTTCATAGGAGATCATAAGTAAGTTCCCGTCAAATATGTTACAATACGTACCGTAAAAATTATTCGAGTATTATATCAAATATTCAATCTTTTACAGACAAATGTTCCCCCATCTAAAAGAACGCCTCATTTTAACGGACAAATTGAACATGAAGGGTAAAGTGGCCGACAACGTTGCCGTTATAAACGCGACTGATCTTTCTCCGATGATCGAGAACACATTGATCAAAGAAATCCGCGAGGTGATCGTACCCGATGCCAAAAACAAGCCGGTAGAGATCTCGTTGAAAGTCGCTGAACTGCCAACAACTACTCCTATCGAGACAATGATCGCTTCCGGACAATGCCAAATGTCCGTGAACGGTGTCGTAGTTCAAAACGGCATGGCTACCACGCAAGTGAACAACAAAACAGCTACAGGTGAAGAGGTACCTCAGAATATTGTGATCACAACGAGACAACAGTACGGTTTGCCAGAGGACGCGGTCGTTTATTGCAATTTCAATCAGTTGTATAAGATTGATCCGCTCACGCTTCATATGTGGGCACACGTAAGTTTACTCTGTATTTCTTATATTCGAGTTTCACGTTGTCCAACATCTGTCGAACTGTCTGAACATCTGTGCTTCTACATCTATTATCATTTGAAATTTTAGATTCTAAAACATGTGCCAAATTCGGTGTTGTGGTTGCTGCGATTTCCGGCGGTCGGAGAGCCAAATTTACAAGCAACGGCGCAACAGTTGGGTTTGTCGCCCGGTAGAATTTTGTTCAGCAACGTTGCCGCTAAGGAGGAACACGTCAGACGAGGACAACTAGCCGACGTGTGCCTAGATACACCGCTTTGTAATGGTCATACTACTAGTATGGACGTTCTATGGACTGGAACTCCAGTGGTCACCCTGCCAGGGGAAACGTTAGCGTCTCGCGTTGCTGCTAGTCAATTGAATACTTTAGGATGCCCGGAGCTGGTTGCACGGACACGGCAAGAATACCAAGATATCGCTGTTCGTTTAGGCACCGACAGAGAATAGTAAGTAAACTGTAGTTTGACCTATCCTGATAAGAGCGACACGAAATATAAATTATTATATATATTATTCTTTTTTCAGCTTGAAAGCGATAAGAGCAAAGGTATGGAAGGCACGATCCGAGAGTCCTTTGTTCAGTTGCAAACTATACGCGTTGGGTATGGAAATGTTATACAGAAAGATGTGGGAGCGTTACGCGCGAGGTGAAAAGCCCGATCACGTGGCGGCAGTAGAGAAGAACGAAAGAGAGAAGATGGCGATAACAGCCGCGTCATAAGAACGATCTCCGCAATTTGTTTTTATTTATATGCAGCTTTAATTCCATAACGTCTGTTGTCCTGGAAATTTAGCATTTACAAAACAGATGATAAGCGATGTTTCAAGAAAATTCGATTTTCCCGTAATTCTCCGTACTTTGTTTTGTACGATAAATCCCAGAGTTTAGAGAATACGTAGAGCAAACATGTCCAAACTAAGCTTCGGAGTCATCAACCCCGACCATTTACCATGAATATCAATCACATGCTGCCCGATGCTATGCTATGCGATACGCACCCATTGTGAACGTTTCTCGTGAAACCTTTGATACACGAATGTTTGACTAACCATGTGACGTTTAAAAAACAAACATTGTGGATTGTCGCACCATACGAGTCACGAGAAATATGCTCGCCTCTTGTGTTTCATTATCTTATCTTCGACCCTGTTATTTATACATTACAATTTTCGCGTAACAATTATCTCGTACAAGACAATTGTTTATCTTTATTTTTAGACGATTAACTGTCGGACGAATAAAGGGGTAGGGATGTAATTTTTTGAAACAGGTGCACAAGCATACTTACAGTGACATGGTTTATTTCACTTACTGTCCCTAGTATCTCTACTTTCGAGAGATTTTTGACGCGTGACTCGTCGACGATCTCGAATAGCTACAAAGATGCTTTCTTTTCCGGTTGTTCTTTGTAGTGAGATCGTAGCACGCTGCAATATTTGTCGTTTGCTTCGAATACGATTCGCTCGTAAAAGAAGGTATAACGAAGAATAAGTAAGTCTGAGTATAGATTATACGCATCAGAATGTTATCACTAGCAACCGCTGACAGCGAAAAGTGCAAGTTTGTATTATATATATATATATATGATCGACTGATGATACACGTTGTAAATATTATATTTAAAAAAAAAAAAAAGGAGGTAATCGTTAGTTATTACTTTAGTTTGATAGTGAATTGCATAAATTAAGATCGAAAAATGTGTGAGGTAGCGAAAGACGTTGACTGTAGCAAAACTTCTAATGTACGTCTATAGAATAAAAAAAAATTACGAACATAATTTGAAAGAATGTGAACGTTGTGTTGCAAGAATGCCTCGATAAATATGCGGTATACGTTTAATTTCTGTTTGTGAAACCATTGCTCGAACTTTGATATAACACCGAGTTCTCATAGAAATATACAGGTAAATAATCGGACTTTTGCTTCAACTTCCTACATTTTTCACGCGACTTCCTCTTCTTATTTTATACTATGCTGCTTACACGACGAGAGAACGAAATATATTTTTAATTTATTGTCGATACTGTTTCGGAATTCGGCGAATTTTAGACAAATAGAAAAAAATAACGTAACGTCCTGTTTGCTGTATGCATGACCTCATCCGCCCACTATGTGTATTATCAACGTTGCACGGTCTCGATAACGAGCAACTGTCCCATTACGCACAATTTACGTCGCAGATACCGATGTAAGGCTAGTATTAAACAAAAATTATCGATTCTCTATCTTTAAATAGAATGAAACATAAAATTAAAATCGTCTCTATAGATCTATATTAATTTAATTTTTGAAGCAGCTTCGAACGAAGCTAACAACTCAATCATTGACTTTCATGTAATTTGCGGAAAAATATGAATATTTTTGGCGTTATCATTGTTATTTTCTATTCTTATTCGGTCAAAAATAAATAATTTACCCATTAATTTGTCCATTTGATGTCCGCATTAAGACCAAGTATCGATATTTTTTTTTTCAATTTAAATTCAAATGAAACAAAATATACTTGCAGTTTATCGCGTTTGTAACTGCCACATAAATCGATAACCCTTCGCGGATCGTCGAGAAGCCAAGTTGGAATTTCGTGATGGATGAGACGCGATCTAGCGGTGCGAAGTGGAAACTATTTCACGACAAACTTGGACGGTTCGCCGAGAAATGGCGTCACATTTTTCGGTATTTTAAAGTTCCAAGCTGGTTGCTTTGGAAACGGCTTGGAAAAAGCACTCGGCTCGGCTCGATTATTTGGGCTGAGTTTTGCTCGAGTTTTTCCCGAACTTTCCGACAGCACTATGGCGCGTTTAGCCATAGACTACAGACTCTATACGCATGTCTAACAGTGTCACGAATTCGCAAGAGCAACGTAATATGGCGGACATGGCTTCACTCCGGGTTCTGTTATATCCGGTCCCTAAATTAAATATTTCAAAATTACAATTTCCAAAATACGTTACGATAAGCATTATTTGAAATTATAAGAGTTAAAATTATCAATTAATAAAGCAAAATATATACACTACAGACTCAACGACAAAGTTCCATCGTTACTTTATCCTCCAGTGACGTCACATAGATGATTTTATCTTTGCTTCAAAGCATTTATCTGAAGTCACGTTTATAAGTATATATGGTCGAAGGTTAAAACTATCGGTGCTCCATCTTCCGTCGTTACTTTTCACTAGCGATGGTTATCGTTTAAATGTCAACTCAACTTCTAATTCACCTTCCAACTTTTAACTCTCCGTAGCTAACGTTGCATTCCGAAATATTTCAACTCTTACAATTTTTCATCGATCTTGTTACACCCTATAGGGATCGTCAACTTTTCATAGTTTCTTTCGCATTCGGCACGAATGAATTTCCTCTGAACTTTGACCGGTAAACGTAACCTACTTTGCAAGATACAGTTAAACGCGTACCGCGAAATGCCTACGATGATTTTTGTTATTTTATGTAGTACGACCTGGTAACGATCGAGATTAGGTTAGGTTAGGTTCTTCAACGTCATCCTTTGAATATTCTCGAAATATTAGCTGTACGACGTCGTTCTTTTATTCGGTCTTGTAACGAAAATGGTTGTGCACCACTGTTCCACACTAATCCATACTGGGAAAGTTTTGCAACAATATCACCAGGTTTTTTCCGAGTGGAATCACCGGCTCGATCGATCGTGCCGTGTCGCTTAAAGTAAAGTAGTTTTAAAATTCACCAAATGCGTGAAAAAATGATCGAGGAATAAAGAGGCATACGCGTTCGCAGTGTCGGACAAATTTTTCGAAAAACGTTCCTCGTTGCTTCGAAAAAAAAAAAAAAAAAACGAGGGAGATACGAAACTCCTTGGTTCCAGTCACGTTCGAGTGCCGCTACCGCGGAAGAAAAAAGTTCCGTGAAACCACTTAAATCGAGCGATTAACTTTTATTGGTTTCCCGTGACCGGCTGCGAGCTCGGTTCTGCCTCACGAACGGAATTTCACGAAACGTTGCTCGGTTAGGTTCTCGGCTCGGAGACGGGCAAAATTTTGATCTGAATAAGGATTTCTGGATTTGCTCGGGTTTGATATCGTCGTTGTACTCGCCGCACGGCCTAGGCCAGTGGTTGTCAAACCGTGCTACGAAACAAATTTATAACCTATACGCGATACTCGGTGGATGTTGATTCACGTTTACCGTTTCATTCTTCCGCTCTTTCTAATAGAATTTCTAATAGAATCTTTCTAACAGAATATAACCAGCCGTTCCTCGCGTTTACGGTTTGGCTATAGCTACGCGAAATGGTATATCTAAAAAAAGAGGCTACTATTTATTATTAATCGAACAGAGCAGCGTAGCAGTTCTGTTCTGTATCGAATCCCGGCTTTATGGCAATTACACGTTCCAAGGAAACGAAGTTTTCGTTATTCCACTGCGAAGTTGAAAGTTGTTGGGAAGGCAAAGGTCGAAACAAGGTTAAGTTGACGTTAAGTACGGTTTCGAGGGTTCGATGCGTGCAGCGCGATTCGAGTCGAATGTTTGAGCGTGAAAATGATTGGAGAAGTTGCAACGGAGGGATTCGAATGGCCATCTCTGCTACTTCTTCGTCGGCGTCGGCGTCGGGGTGGTTTGCGTTTCAGTTCGCGTTCCGAGCTTCGAAGCAGGGGGAATCCTTGACATAAATAATCAGCAGTGGAGCACCGCGGTACTGCCCTCGTAACCATGGTAACAGCATCGATCGAGGCCTACTACGAAGTCAAAGCCAGCTACCCTCCTCGCGGCACACGCTTTCTTTTCCATTCCCATCCTTTCCTTACCCTCTCGTTCTCCTTTTTTCCGAGGCTGCGTTTCGTTTCGTTTCTTCGTCTCCCTTCCGTTCCCGTTCGCAACCTTCCGTCAACTGGTTCGCTTTGGCCCGCTTTGTCGCTCTTTCCATCTGCGCGGTGCGATTCTTTTTTCTTTTTTTTTTTTTCTTTTTCCTTCATCGCGTTCCCGTCGGATGTTCCGCTGCTCTATTTTCTCGGACTTCCTCGACCTAACCTCCTTTACGTTCCGGCTAACCTTATTTCGGGACAACTGTTATGCGCGTTTACTTTTCTAGTCCATCTACGCTCGCGCGGGAACGTGTTTTTAACGAAACGAAAATGTGGGAACGTTATTCGGCGAAGTGGGCAACGAGCAATTCAAAAAATGTAGCTCGCGTGGCTCGGCGAAGTCGCGCCGGTCCAAATATAGCCTCGATTTACCGCTGGTTAGAGAAGTACCGACGGATTAAGAAATAAGTCGAACGTGCTTGGCGAGGGAAAAAATACGTCGGCCCGGTGCCCGAGCGTAAAAAAAAAAAAAAAAGAAAAAGCCGCGATATCCGTGACATCGATTTCTGGCTTCGATTCGCGTTGCTCGCGAGGAAAGCAGTCGTTTAGTTTTTGCTTTCGCTTGGAATCCCGCTGTTTCGCAACTTTTGCGCAAAGTCTCGTCGTCCGCGATTCCCGCGCTATTTTTATCTTCGCGACGATCGAGAAAGAAAAACTTTAGCGAAAATTAAACACGCGTATGGTTCCTTTATGAACGAAATTTGAATCGATCGAAGGGTAAAGAAGAAAGTGTACGAAGTCTCTGGTATAGAGAGTACCGACATCGAGCTCGGATTTTCCGTAACTCGTTAAATAAACTTCGCTTCCTTCTTCGAGCGACTTTACAGGAAACCCCTTTTAGACATAACGAGGCGCACCGGTGCACTTATGACCCTGATCGACGAAACCGTTCCCAGAAAGCCAGCAGAGGCCAGTGCTTTTATCTATTTTTATCTATCGCCGTGTTTCTCGGAATTTCTCATCCGACGCTGTACGTGGAAACGTTGCCTCGACCGCGAATATACCTTCCCGAGGTATCGTCGCGACGGTTCCTGGGACCAGGGCCTGACGAAATCCACGGTGTATCATAAGGGTCGCAATCGAATTTCCCTGTTACGCGGAAAATTTCGACGGCTCGTCGTTTATTCGTTTCCGTTAATTTATCAGTTGGTCCCCTTTGGTAAATTTCTTGGCGCCCCCGTTGGACGGAAATTGAAAGGGACTTCCCGCGATGTGTTTCCATGGCGTCGATGATATACGCACGTGGCGTCCCGATACGAGAGCTTTCCGCGATAAATTAACCCAGCTGGCTATTAATCGCCGATACGCGGACCAGATAAAACTCTCTGGGACGATAAATTACGTTGTGTTTCGAACACATCGACGGTCGTTGTTTACCGGCGCGAGGAAACTGCACCTGAGTCGGCGACCGAATCAGGGCTCGAGTGCTCGATGTGTCGTGACAACTTTTTCGAGTCGTCGAGAATGGAAGAATTCTTGAAATTTTATTGAGTAATAGTACATCGAAAGACGATCGTCTAGCCGTGTTTTCGGGATGCGAAAGACAGCGCTGCGCGTTGTTTATGGAGACTGTTCGAGCACTGTTGCCAACCAGCAAAGAACGATTGCCCTTGACGCAAGTTAAAAAAAATCCCTAAATTTGGCTTCGAAACCCTTAAATTTTTGTTTGCCCCTAAAATGTTTCGTTTATTTATTTATTTATTATAGTTTTTCACAAATAAAGATATTTTATTTAAAATTTAGGTGAATATAAATAAGTGTCGTTATGTGTATAATCATATTTAATGTAACTAAGTCCGGTATCGTTGAGTAGAAGTTTAAGATGACTCATAAGTAAGCAATAGTTTAATGTACAAATCATTGTAACGAGTTAATTATGTTCTTTCTTACTCGTTGTACTCGATTTTTATAAATCTCCATTGAGATTTAAAATAAATTAAAAAAATATATATATAATCATATTTACGTGTGTGCCATTGCCAAGAAATAGTCCTATGAAATCTCGAGGTAATTCACTATCTGGTTTACATATTTTCGTATTTCGATTAATCATATATCTCCTAAACTAGATGGTC